TATTCATGCCTTAGCTATGTCACTGGAAGTTCAAGAATGAGGTGATTGGACATAAAATTTCGATTTCTGAATTTTTATGCTAGGCTGTTAGCAAACAATTAATGCACGAAATATAGATTGAATTAGGTCGATAAACCGCCCAATAAGAGCTAAACCGATACCAATCCGCCTGATATCTTATCGGGTGGCTAGCGGATTAATATATTTAAAAGCCGATATAAGCCAAACCGTTAAGAGTAAATAACCGCCCAATCCGCCCGATAAGCAGCCCTAGCTGGTGCTATAGGAAATGTGTCGGCCTGAGAAACACTCTTCATAAGGCCAACTAGATGGACCAAAGCATCCTAAAGTACCGGGGTAGCGATGAATCCCTTTGGAACCTGAGCTGGCCCTGCTGGAACGGTCTGGGCTGGAGCCTCCTCATCAAATTCTACCTGAGGCTTCGCTGTTGGTGCTGCTGCTCGAGCCCTGGACTGAGCCCTGCCCCTGCCTCGGCCTCTAGCACGGCCTTGGCCTCGTCCTCTGCCCCTCGTAGAAGCCGCCACTGGGGCTCTAGCTGGTGCTCCGCTGAAGAAGCGATACGTGTTCTTGCCATCTGCGAAAGGACAAGAGTAGAGAGTTCAATTAGCATTGAGAGATCAAATATCACAACGGAGGAGAATAGAAGTGAGTTGTACCTAAACTCTGTAGCCTCTGGGGATAAGCACAGACGCACAGACGTCTCCGTACCGATGCCTCAGACTCTACCTAGATTGTTCGTGAATTGTGAGACCTAGGCAACCTAGTGCTCTGATACCAAATTGTCACGATCCGGATTTCCCACCGTCGGGACCATGATGGCGCCTAACTTTTCAGATGCTAGTCAAGCCAACGATTAAAGATTTAATACGCTAACCCTTGACCAAATCAGTAAATAACAGCAATTAAACCAAAATAGATTAAAGAGTGCAGAATTTCATAATAACCCAAGTGCTTATACACAACTACCCAGAAACTGGTGTCATAATTTACATACTTCAAAGAGTCACTACAAATAGCGGCTGAAAGAAAATACAACTGTCTTTGAATAAAAAAAAACTGTAAACTAGAATAACTGGAAGGGGACTCCAGGGTCTACGAACGCCGACAGATCTACCTTGGGTCTCTTGTGGGTCTGAAAGCAGCAACTCAACTCGGGTCAACACGGTCCAGTACCGAAATCTTCACAAAAAGTGCAGAGTGCAGTATCAGTACAACCGACCCTATGTACTAGTAAGTGCCGAGGTAGTGTCGAGGCTAGGACAAGACACATACGTAAACTTGTGTAGTTAAACAATATGCTAGCAGAATAACAATTAATAGAAGCTAAGCAGAAATTAACGGGAGGATGAGACATGCTATGGGGTACCAAAAATAAAGAATCACAACAGTAGAGGAATTTAAATAGCTAGTACACTTTGAACCGGTAATAACAAGTAAACACAGCAAACGTAAAATGCACGGCATCACCCTTAGTGTTTTTACTCTCAACCTCACCAGATAATCAATAATAGAAACGTGCACGGCATCACCCTTCGTGCTTTACCACTCTTCCACATCACATAAGTAATAGAAACGTGAACGGCATCACCGTTCGTGCTTTATCACTCTACTTCACCAAAATAGAGACAACAATAATAGAGGGATAGAAATGGCAACAACGAGTCTTACTTCAACTCTTAGTTCCACAATACCAATCTCAACTTTGGATAAAAACCCCATCAATACTAAATTCCATAAAACATGATAAGACACTTCTCAACACATTGAATAACTAGTTTACACATGAACAACATGATAAAAAGAATACAATATTTCCAAGAATAAGACTCACTCACATGTTATGACTCGACAACAACGTATAGATACTCGTCACCTCACCTATACGTTGTACTCAAAATCCAAACACGTAGCAAATAAGCAAATAACACCTAATCCCTCAAGCTAAGGTTAGCCACAACACTTACCTCGCTCATTCGGCCAAACTCAAGGCTCAATTACCGCTTTGCCTCTAGTATCCACCTCCAAACCACTCGTATATAGCCACAATTAACGCAATATCATCAATTATTGCTAAAGGAATCAACCACAATGCATAAATTTAGTGTTCCTAAACTTTCCCCCAAAAAGTCAAAAATGACCCCGGACCCGCTTGGTCAAAACTCGAGGTTCGGACCAAAACCCATTTACCCCCGAGCCCAAATATGTAATTAGTTTTGAAATTCGACCCCAAATCGAGGTCTAAATCCCAATTATATAAAAATCCCTAATTCTACTCAAATCCCCAATTTCCACCATGAAAACCCTAGATTTTAGGTTTAAAATTCGTGAAAGGTAATGGGTAATTGGAAGAAAGTAGTTAAAATCACTTACCAATACTTTGGGGAAGAAATTGTCTTTTGAAAATCGCCTCTAGGCCGTTTAGCTTTTGAAAATTTGAAACAATGGCCTAAGTCCCGATTTGGGACTGTTTATGAATTGGGCGATAGTGTTCATCGCGTTCGCGAGGACACTGTCGCGTTCGCGAAGAGCTGCCTTGCTAGGCTTACGCGATTGCGAAACCTCCATCGCGTTCGCGAAGGCTTTTCCCCCTTGGCCTTCGGTTTGCGAGCCCTTGCTCGCGTTCGCGTAGAAGGAAGTCTGACCCCTCCCCTAGGTCCCCAATGCTTCGCGTTCGCGAAGGGTAACACCCCCATCACTTCGCGTTCGGGACCAGGCCTTTGCTTTCGCGAAGAAGAAAACTCACCCTGACCAGCCCACCCTTCGCGTTCGCGAGGGTAGCTTTGCGAACGCGAAGAAGGACACACCAGAACAGCTGCTGCAGCAAAAATACTAGATTTTCTAAGTTCAAAACATCCCGTAGCCTATTCGAAACTGAACCGAGCCCTTAGGGCTCCAAACCAAACATGTACACAAGTCTAAAAATATAATACGAACTTGCTCGCACGATCAAATCGTCAAAAATAACACCTAGAACTACGAATTTAGCACCAAATTGCATGAAATTTTCAAGAAAGTTTTAAAACTTCTATTTTCTCAACCAAATGTCTAAATTACGTCAAATCAATCCCGTTTCTCATCAAATTTCACAGACAAGGTATAAATATCATAAAACGGACCTCTACCGGGCTCCGGAACCAAAATACGGACCCGATACCAACAAGATCAAATATTAACCAGATTCTTAAAACCATTACAATTTCAGTCTTACAATCTTAATCAAAAATTCATTTCTCGGGCTAGGGACCCCGGAATTCAATTCCGGGCATACGACCAGATCCCATATTTTACTACGGACCCACCGGGACCGTCAGAATACGGGTCCGGATCCGTTTACCCAAAACATTGACTGAAGTCAACAGAAATCAACTTTTTAGGCCAAAAATTATTATTTCATCAATTTTCCACATAAAAGCTTTCCGGAAATACGCCCGGACTACATACGCTAATCGAAAAGAGATAAAATGAGGTCTTGAAGACCTGGAACACAGAATCGAGTTCTAAAAACATAAGATGACCCTTTGGATCATCACAAATTTTTATTCGTAATAGATGAAATTTAAGCATGAATACAATTACGATACTAACTTTCAAATTCTTTTGTAAGCTTTAACTTCACCTATATGGGATTAATGTTTAGTTACAAGGAAGAGATAATAATGTTATTCTGAGCACCTAATTTTTAACTATATTTGAGCTTTTTCATTATTTTTTAGTATGAAAATATATTTTACGTTTAATCTACATATTTTAGATCTTAGTTCTCCTTTTGTATATTTTACTTAAGAAAATTGAAAACAATAAAAAAGAGTCACATTTTTAATATAAGCTTTATCTTCATTTACAAAGAAAGAAAATGTTTTCCAAAAAAAATATGTTAGTTTGATAAGTAAATTTTGAGTGGTTAGTATTTATCTTGCTATTTCAAGTTTCGGAGTAGTATTTTTTTTCATCTATTAATCAATAAAAAAATCAAAATCACATAAAAAGAAAGAAAATTCAATTTGGACTAGTTCTCCTAAAGTTTTGCATTGTTCAAATGCCCAAGTCATGGTTCAAATTGGGCCAAACCTGAGCTTAATAGCCAATAGCCCATTACAGTTTCCCTTGTAAAAATTGCACGGGGCACCCTATTTGGTCGCCCCCATTTAACCTATACCCATATTTTTAAAATTATTTAACATATACCCTAATTTTCACAACTTCAGGCGCCTCCTTCTTCCTGCTACCTGTGCGCTCCTTTCTTTCTCCTTTCTTTTCCTCCTCCTCTTCTTCTTTTCTCTCTCAAACACATGAGGCTCTGTGTAAGTATTATTGATTGAATATGAAATACACAACGATTTAGCACTAAGGTATGAATTTTGCGTTAAGTACATCTGAAATTTCATTCCCTCAAAAAAGAGATAAAAATGGTTATTCTTAATACTGAATTTCCTGATAATTCCATTATAGCAACTGGATCTTAATGACAACTTGTCATTGTTGTTTTAGAACTTCAGCTCTAAGAATGCTGAAGTTCAGCAAATATAAACAAAAACTTCAGCTCCTAGAATGCTAAAGTTCAGCAAATACAAAGCAAATTTCAGCCCTGAAGTTCATCACAAACATAACAAAGCTTCAGCTAAAACATGCTGAAGTTCAGCAAATATAGAACAAAACTTCAGCTAAAACATGCTGAAGCTCAGCAAATAAAGAATAAAACTTGAGCTAGTAGAATGCTTAAGTTCAGCAATTACAAACAAAAACTTCAGACAACACTTGGTTCAACAATTTTTGCTACTTCAGACCCGTCTACTAGAATGCTGAAGTTTGCGTGATTGCCTTTGCTACTTCATGCCCATATACTTGAAGTTACGTGAAAAGTAGATACGTTTGCAATGTTTTTTTGTAAAATGGATATAAATTAAAATATGACCCAAAAAATGATTATATCTGCGAATGCCCCCATTTCCTCCTCCCAAACCATATAAGACCCGTACTTTCACAAAAAACCTAGTCCTCTATTCATGTAAAAATAGCAGAACCCCAAAAATTCCCCCACCCACGGCTCCTCTCTCACCCCCTTTACTCCTTGTTTTCTTCCTTAATGGTTTGGTAAAAACAAAATTGGAACTTCCATAGCTGAACTCACATTTCCCAAATAACCTTTTCCTTTGCAAGAAAGTAGCCAAATTTATATACTCACTATAACCATGAATTGTCACTTTCTTTTCTTGAAAGGTTAAGTGTATTGGTAGAGTGTTTCTAGCTCCAGATCTGTATAGCTCTTTGTCTGAAAATCCAGCAATCAGCGATTCCACCCCTTTTTCTCAAGAGAAAACGAGCAGCTTCACTCTCTCTTTCACAGAAGAAAATTCGAGCAGTAGCCCTCCCCTTCACCCAAAAATCGGCCATTAATTCCAAAATCAAAAAGCAGTTGACTCGCCCCTTTAAAATACCACAGCCGCTGCTCTCTTCATTCTTCAGTTTCAGAAATTTAGGTTCAAAAATGGAGTCAAGCTGAAGTAGGTGTTCGATTTGGAGTGTCCGTTCGAGATCGGTTCTCGATTCCTGTATTTTCTTCGGGCCTTCATCTTGTTGAATCTGTTGCAACAACATTTCTTTACATATTAAAGGAGAAGCACTTAACAGGTTCATTTCTATTAATTCCTCTTTATTTTATTTTAATTACTGTGAATCAAACTTTAGCCATTAAAAGATGAGGTTTAATTTGTAATGATAATGTGTGTCTTAAAGAGTAATTCTGTTAAGGCTACTCTAAATGTTAATTTTCATTTTGTTTGAGCAAAGAATTGCTATGGTTTCCTCTAAGATTCTGTATCAACTTTAAGTCATATGCAATATTCTCTTGGAAAATATGTATTCCTTCAAACTGGACGAATTGATGCAACAATCATATAAGTGAGGTCTTTATTTTTCTTGTATGTGTTAATTTTGTTGGATTGGAGTGAGCGATACGATCTTAAAGAGCCTTATCAATCGGATCGAATCCTCCCTGTTTTATTTAAAAACACCACTGATATTAATTATCTTCCCATAGTAGTTGTAAATAATCTTTTAAGTAGGAATCTTATGCTCTTCCCCCTATCCTTACTCCATAAACTCATGGCCTTACAATAATCTCAAAGATTAGGAAAATAATTCAAATGCTAGTTGCTTTAGACGCGATTAATAATAAATCATCGTGACTATGGGTACGGTTCCCGCGGCATGATCATGATATGTAAATCCCAATTCGGGTGTGCATTTCATGTTACCCGACCTAACTTCAAATAATTATAATAATACATGTTCGCGCGATTCACAATGTGTACAAAAAACAATAAGTGCACGACATCGCGACTTATTTAAATAAACTCCATAAATACTAGCGATTAATTGAATAGTTAACTGCTGCCTCACACCTTCTCCCGCTTTTAACTGAATTCCTTATCCGGTATTTTTTGTTCGCGGACCATAAATAAGAGTCAAATTTAATCGATTTGGGATTTTAAAATAAACGGTGACTTGGGTCACCATAAATTATTCCAAGTGGTGACTCTGATAAAATAAATAATCCTATTTCGAATAATGTCACTTTAATTGGAATAAATCCCTATCCCCTCGAGAAAAAGGAGGTGTGACAGTTATAATAAGATGCAGGATACTTTTATTTTGCGTTTGATTGAATTTTTAATTATGGTATAAGCAATTTTGTAATTATTTCTATCGTGCTATTATTTTTATATCACGGTTAATATGGGATGACAATCTCCGGATAAAACACAAATTAAAAAAAATGCACTGTCCAAGCTCTGCTCTATAAATTATTTAAGAAAATTAAGGTTAAAAATAAAAATTAATTCAAAATGAATTGTAAAATCAAGCATAAGTTTTATTTATTATAAAATTCTGATATTATAATAAGTTTTGGAGTTCTTATCAAAAAAAAAAGTTTTGGAGTATCTTGATGAAGTTTTAATTTTTATTTCTTAATTGAATAGTGATAGTAATAATTTGTGATGGAAAAGGGTAAAAGATAGGAATGGTGTAATTGACACATTGAAACTGATATATGTATCCGCGATACTGGAGATGTTCTAACAGTTGTCTTCAATAATGTGGCCATGCAACCCTTTTACAGAACTATCTGGATTTGTACATTCCCATTAAGCTTTTTCTTGCTGCTGCTTTGATCATTGAACCTTTCATATTGATTCTTCTGACATTCTTTACGTACTATTTTACTTGAATGTTGCAAGGTCTCTTTTGCCTTCTCTAGAGTCTTATATCATTCAAATAAACACTACTGTCTGTTCCTTTTTTATGGTTTTTATCAATTAAAAAGACTTTCTTTGGCAAGCTTCAACGGGTGTACCCCATGTTTATTTTCCACTGTCTCATTTTATGTGGCACACTTTCCTTTTGTAGAAATATTTAACTTTGATTTTCAACTTTACCCTTAATAAGATGATTTCTAGTCACACAAATGTTTATGACCCCGTGGCCCGTCAAACACTGTCACATAAAATGGGACGGAGGGAGTAGCTGCTTTTGAGTCAGCTGATCATGCAATTGAAATCTTTTCCACATTGCATTGCTCAGAGAGCTAAATGTGATGATATTTATTCATAATTTAATTTTACATTTGTATGGCTCGAGGATTAAGGAATTGACTCAAGAGGTCTTCTGGTTGTGTCCTGCAGTGCAACTTGTCATGTTTGGGATGCTTTCCAACTTGCACATGCATCCTTCAGGCTTTACTGTGTCCGAAAGAACCTCGTTGTCCCTGAGATGAGCCAGACGATCAGTGGTAAGCTGGGTCCTGACCTGCTGGTGATCCTCCCAACCAATATCCCTCTGCCTGAGACCGGTGCCTGAGACCGGTCCTGAAGATGATGAAGAAAGCAACGCCGATACTCTTCCTGCCATAAAGATCTATGATGATGATGTGAACATGAGGTTTCTCATCTATCGAACGCCATGCTCACTGGTATGGGATTGATTTCACGTACTCTTCCTATCACTTATTTGAGCGATAATGTTCTAGTCATTATGTGAACAACTTCCTAGAATTTAACTATTGCTATGAATGCAATATGTTTGTCAAACTTACTTCTTTTTCCTTATGCGCTTTATATATTGCTGAAGATATAATGCTTACGCACGTGCGAGCACATTTATAATATATTCTTCCTAGCTTTTCTTCTAAGTTGCATCATGTTATATTTGAAACTAATTCTACACATTGTTTCTTGTCCGCAGGATGAATGCTTGTTGGGATCTATAACAGATGGTCTGAATGCCCTCTTAATCATTGAGGCAAGTTACACCAACATTGCCCCTTTTTATATCCTTGTGCAACATATTTTTCATTTCATGAAGAAACAGCAGCAGTGCTTCCTTGTGATATTATAACTACTTCAGATGATGGTCATTTGACACCAGTTTCTTTGTTTGAGCTGCTTAGACTTGTCCTTTGACTTCCTGCCATCTTGATAAGTGTGTCTGATTGCCTTTCTCGTAGAAACAGAATTTTGTGTAACATGAGCAATGGCACACTTCTACTATCTGAGGCAGGTTGCTGATATTCTCTTTTCTTGAGCTTAAAAAAATGTTAATGGATGCACCCAAGGGTGGTCTAGTGTCAATGAAGTGAGTGAAAAAAAAAACGAGAGACCAAGGTTCAAATCGTAGCAGAGACAAAAACACTAGGTGATGTTTTGCTATCTGCCTAAGACAGCAATAATGTGACACTCCCTGATTGAATTACTTCAGTTCATGTGTACTCTCTTGTCAAACCTTTGTGCCCTAATATAGCTGCTCTGTGATACAGTGCCCTTCCACCAACTCTTCAGGCTGGTGCATATCCCGTGTTGTCGTGTCCATGCGATGTGATCTCTCGACCAGTAGTTCGGCTCATATCTCACTTCTAGTTTCAGGCAGTGCTCAAACATGTTTTGAACTGGTAAATTTAGCATTATGTTCTTGTACAGCAATGATCTTTAATAGCCCAACGTTGACTGATTGGATGATATATACTTCCTTTTTAATTCTTAGCTATTAAATAATCACATTAAAAGTGAAATCATTGAAAACAGTGAACTGGTTCATGCACTGCCAAGTAATGAGGAAATTAGACCACCTACATCTAGCCTTGGAGATCAATGTCAGTAGCTTGTGGGACAAAAGTATTTGAAGTTTGCTTGAAGGTTCCTACATGGGCTTCAGCTTCACAGGTTCTTAAATGCTTTTTGATTCTCTTTATTTGTGCCTTGCTTAATTTTCTTGAGAGATACCCCGGTGAGAAGATGCGGGAATCCAGTCAATTTGGCTCCAGGTTTTCCATGAACATAATAGTTAATTTAATCAGTATACATGATTTTACTAAATTCCCTATCTCTGCTCTTCATATTTGTTTTTATAAAATTTTCCTTCTGCTTAGTATGTTAGAGGATAAGTGTATACATTTGATAGTAGATAGTCCAAGATTAGTGTGTACTTGGATACTGGATTAGAGGCTCTGACATTTATTTGATTTGTAAATGTTGTATGCGAGTTGTTGCACGATTGGAAAAGCTGTTCTCTTTCTTTTAATCAGGGATCACTATTAGTTCTATGGGTGGTGTTTACTATGAGAATCCATTGGCAAAAACTTAAGGAATCAAGTTATTTTGTTTGCATTACCTGATAGAGGTTTTTCCTTTAACACCAAATGGTTTTAGAATATATACTACAGCCCGAATTATAACTGTATTATGGGTAATTGTAATCATATTTTCATGTTCTCTCTTTTTCTCCCCGGCCTATTTACAGGAGGAATTTCTGAAAGATGTAATGCAGTTTTTAATTCTTCGTGGACACAGTCGTCTCGTTCCTCAATGTGGCCTTGCTGAGTTTCCAGATGTGATTCTCAATGGCAAACTCCTTAATCTCTTTAACTTGTATAGGGAGGTGAGCTTTCTTGTCATGTCTTTTTTGCTTATTAAGAGGAACTCTCAGAAATCTGCAAGCGTTCATAGAAAAAATGACAAGATATCAAACATCGTTGTAATTTGTAAATTAAATGTTCATCATGTGTTTCTAGGGATGGTTTTCATGTTGGCATTGGCATCATTTGGAAAGGACAAGTTTTCTCAAAGATGCGAAATCGCATGGTAACCAATAGGTTGACGGTAAGCCCTTTTACTCAATATGATGTTAATAACATCCTTTATTTTGCCAAAAAAATAAAATTAATTTATAATAAATGAAAAACTAGCGCCCAAGGGTGTGGCCTAATGGCTAATTGTAGTTGGTTGAGAACCATGTAGTCTCAGGTTTAAATTCCAACGGAGTCGTAACACTAGACAATTTCTTTTTATCTGTCCAAGTCTTGGTGGACAGAGTAACCTCCGGTACCAGTTGTTGGTACATGGTGGGAGGTAGCAGGTGTTCCATGGAATTAGTTTTGAAAATGCTTTAAGTGGTCTTGAGAATCATCTATACTACATAGACTACTCTGATGCTCAATATGTGGTGTTTAAGATATATACATAGAGTGAACAATTTAAATGTCATTTTTAAAAAAAGAAGAAGAAGATTTTTTTAAAAACTGAAATTAAAAGGGTATTTGGCCTGGGGTGCGATGTAACTTCATAGAGTTTGAGCTGTCTTCTTTAAAGGGGGTATGAACTCATTTGAGCTTCTCTAAGTTGGCATTTTACTCTTCTGCTGTGAGTTCCCTCTTCCCATTTCTCTTCTCTAAGTTGCCATTGTAGAATCCCTAACCCCAATCCCCTTTTCCCAATTAATGATTTTCCCCATTTCAATTGCACTTTTCTTTGTCTTACTTGTGTATACTCTTCTGTTCTTCTCATTTCTCTTCTCTAAGTTGCACTTATTGAAACCCTAACCCCAATTCCCTTTTTCCCATTCCAATTTCACTTCTCTTTTTCTTACTTGTGTATACTCATTAGTTCTTCTTCTCAGTTCTCTTCTCTAAGGTGTATTTGTAGAACCTAACCCCAATCCCCTTTTCCCCATTCCAATTGTACTTCTCTTTTATCTTACTTATGTATGTTTCAGTGCTTTCTTATGTTCATAACCCCTTTATCTAGATTATCTTGGTTCTGTTAATGCTTTTCGAATAATCTAGACTTATTTCCCCAATATTTTAGAATTTCTTGCTTGAATATGGCTAGCTAGAGCTAAGAAAGCGATACATTGTAATTTGATGCTTATTTTGTAAAAAAGACATCCCACTTTACTATGTTGCTTGAGTTGCTCCCAGAGGTATCATATTCATGTTTTCCTTGATATGGCAGTGTGCAAGTATTTGTGTCAATATAACATAAATTCAATATAATTAATTAGTTTCAACCCCATCCCTTTTAACTGTGGCTATTTAATTTTATGCAACTGGTATCTTGTTTAACTTGTCTATGAAATAATGATTGTACTTATCGAACCTTTTATGAGTTTTTGTGTTTATTTTTCTTTTTCTTTTTTTCCAGCCCAGCTAAATCCGATGGCTTACATACCTGTTGAAGATTTTGGTGTAGCTATTTCTCAGAATGTGAGATATTTAGCTGTGATTCAAATTTAAAGTTTATTTAATTATTTTTTGATTTTGCATTACTGTTCTTAGTTCTTTTTTTCTTTGAGACTAGGCTACGAGATCTTGGTGCGAGCGGCATTATATGACCACCGTGGGTTACCAGTACGTCTCAGGTATGTATTTGTTTACATGGCCTCCGTGTTTTATTGACATAATCTTAATATAGATAAAGTGTTTAATGGGTAACAACCTTAAGTGTCTTTTATTTTTGTTGTTAGTTTCTTGTGTTGCATATTCTGTTTGCGACGTTGTGAGTGCAAAGCTGGCCAGACAGGCCGAGGCCGTGTGCAATGCCAGCCCCGTAGAGCTGCAATTCCTTTCTCAAAGAAGGAGATCTATGACTGTGTTGATAGAGAGGGTTTGAGGCTAAGTTTTCACAGAGTATTTGACTACGTTAAATACGAACGGATTCATACAGAAGCACGTTATCCTTTTTAAAATCAGTGGCAAGATAACTGCATTGTTGCCACTGATTTTCATGTGTTTTGGCGCCCGATTCATGGTTCTAGAGGTTATTTTGATGTTCCATTCGCGCGAGCGAGTTCGTGTTATATTTTCAGATTTGTGAGGGTGTTTGGTTTAGAGACCCGAGAGCTCGGATGAGTTTTGTACACATTTCGGAGTGTTGGAAGGAGGTTAAGCTATGCTGGTGTTTCTGTTCTCGCATTTGCAAGGATTTCATCGCATTTGCGAGATCATTCTCGCATTTGCGAAGATGGGCTGGGGCAGGGGAGTTTGCATTTGCGAACCACTTCATCGCATTTGCGATTGCAACTCAGCATTTGCGACACTAGTTGTCGCTTTTGCAAAAAACTCAGAGCTTGCATTTGCGAGTCTTGTGTTGCATTTGCGACCTGAAAAGAGCTGGCCAGCCTTCACATTTGCGATATTTTTGTCGCATTTGCGACAGCTGAGGCTGGTATTAAGATTCCCATTTCGAGACTTAGCTTCATTTTATCATATTTTGAACCCTAGGTTCGAGAGGACGATTTTGAGAGAGGAGTTTCATCTACAATCATTGGCTAAGTACCTATAATCTATTTTCTATCATATCTGTGATTATATCTTAGGTTTAATATCAAATTCATGAGAATCTAAAGGAAAATTTGGGGGAAACTTTGTAAAATCTTTCAAAATGTAAAATGATGATTTGAAGGTACCGAAACTTGATAATTCTGATATGGTTGAACTCGTATCGTAATGGATGTTCGGATTTTGTAAGTTTTATCGGGTTTCGAGGCACGGCCAACACGAAAAGCATCTCATTCCAAATTACTACTGTGATTCCAATGTCTGATATCTTAATAATCTAATTATAACACATTTCAATACCTTTCTCAATACCAAACCTAACAGCATTTCAGCAATTGAATCTAACAAATTGCCGAAAGCTTTAAAAAAAAAATAAGCATCAAAGGATCTTCTGCAATACGGAGATTATTAGTACAACCAAACTTATCTTTTAACACTACTAGTTCATTATAACGGCTATAAGCCCCTAAAAAGGAAATTACAACTAGCTATTCATGCTCTCAAACAAAAAATAATATTAGAAATACATTATCATGACAACAGTGAAGAGGAAATGGATCATACAAAGTCATATGCATGAAGTGATTAATGTATACATTCAAACCCAATTTACTAAAGACAACCATAGACAATTCGAAATAAAGCAAAAAAAACATGTGATTAAATATGGAAATCCATTCTTATTGTCACACGAAATCCAGAAAAATGATACGACAAGTAGTTCAAAGCTTCATGTACACAACCAAAGGAGAAAAATCAATATTCAGTCACATACCTGATTTAGCCAAAATACACCCCAAAAAAAGAAAGAAAATAGATCTATTTAGTTGGGAGGAGATAAAAGCAAGAGCAAACACAGCAACAACAGTTTTATAGCTCCAATAACACTCGGATTCCCATAAATTATGAAGCAACGAAGCAGAAGTGGAAAATCGCCTTGACAACGTCCGAATCCAGAAAAGAAAAAGAAGTTGAATTTTTGAACTTCAGTAATCAATTCCCCTTTTAAATCTTCTTCGAAATTTAGTTTTCCTTTTTGTTTTCCGGACTTTGTGAATCTCAGATCTGGTTTTCAGATTTTTGAAGTCCAAACTCATTTTGAAGTCCAAACTCATTTTACAGCACCTGTCTTTATTTTAAAGCCAGTGTTTTAAATGTCTTTAGTCTTTTAGCCTANAAGTCATGATTTAAAATCTCTCTCTCTCTCTCTCTCTCTCTCTATATATATATATATATATATATATATATATATATATATATAAAAGTTCAATAAATTAAATTTTTTGCTTACCACACTCTGTGATGTAAACAGTTGGATTCTTGTAATAATTCTTTGTGTAAACAAGAAGCTTTTCAAGTCCCATTGGAGCAACAAAGAAAATGAGGTAACTTTAAACACAAAGTTAAGACTCCCTGTCCTGAACTTTTGAACGTGTAATTCAAACTTAAGGACTGTCTGACTTTAACTTTTGAACCTGCATTTCAAACTTAAGGACTCCTGTTCTTAACGTTTGAACTTTGAACTCAAAGTTAAGGACTGCATGTCCTTAACTTTTGAACGTATTATTCAAACTTAAGGACTATCTTTCCATAACTTTTTAACCTGCAAGTCAAACTTAAGGACTCCTGTCCTTAACTTTTAAACTTGAAACTCAAAGCTAAGGACAGACAGTCCTTAAGTTTTGAACTTGAAACAATAACTTAAGGACTGCCTGTCCTTAAGTTTTGAACTTGAAACTATAAGTTAAGGACTGCATGTCCTTAACTTTTGAACCTGAAACTCAAAGTTAAGGACAGAAAGTCCTTAAGTTTTGAACTTGAAACAATAACTTAAGCACTGCCTGTCCTTAAGTTTTGAACTTGAAAATATAAGTTAAGGACTCCCTGTCCTTATCTTTTGAACCTGCATGTCAAACTTAAGGACTCCTGTCCTTAACTTTTGTAAAATTGAGGACAGACAGTCCTTAACTTATAGTTTCAAGTTCAAAACTTGATTACAAAAATCTTGAAGGCTAACCAAGTGAACAAACCCAGGTACAATCCCCGAGAAGAGAATTGTAGGATTTCGAGGGAATGGATAGATTGGTCTCGAGCATAAAAGAAAGATCATGCATCTGCGACATTATACCTTCTATATCAATATTATTCTTTGATGGATTTGATTCACCACGAATGTCTGCATTCTATGAAGCATCACCAACCTTGCTTGGGGTATCAACGGCATTAAAATATGTCAAATGAAATGTAAGAAGGGTTTTTCACATTTACCATTATTGCGCTTGATATATACTTCACCTTCATCGCTTCTTTCTTTTTGCAGAAGGGTTTGGGAATATAACCATTGAAGAAAGGGTAAAACTGTCTTTTTCTTATTAGTAGTGGCTATTTTTGCTGAGCATTATAATTAGTGGATAAAAATTAAAGACCCCCTTAATTAGTGGCTACTACACGCCATTTTTACTTCTTTTTGAGGAGGGGGATCCGATCTCCTTGTCTCTAGATTAGAGTGGGTGTATATATGGATAGAGGGATTTGGGCCAGGTGGGTTTGAGGGAGTTTGGGCTGCGGCAGCAGATGATTTGTGAAAGGGAAATTTGGGCCATTGGGTCACATGCTTGGCCCAAAATTGGATTATAGCAAGACCTCTTTCTTTCCTCTTTCTCTTTTTTTGATTTTAAATCCTACTAAATTAGTTAAAAACGTAAATTAAGCCCTAAATCAAATCTAATTTGTAGAATTAAACTTAATTATCTAATTCTACCATTTAAATAATTAATTAACTTAAAACTAATAAAATTAAAAGCTAAAATGTAAAAATGACCAATATTTTTCCTAAAATTCTATAAAATTAAAAATAATTAGAAAAAAATTATTTTTGTGCATATTGTAGGAGTATTTTCGTCGGGCAAAATCATGTGCTCACAGCTGCCCCTCTTTGTTCGAAAACATGAAGAGTTTTCGGACAAAAAACAAAGTGAGCAATTACGAGCGATTTTTGCCCGTTTGCTACCCCATTCGGAAGCGTTTTGAAAAGTTTGACCGAACCTTGCTTCGGAGGTTGCCTACATATCCTTGGCTATAAAGGAATTAAGTCAGTGTAGTTCTGAAAGTTTGGTAGCTGGGACTACCGGGAAACTGTGATTTCACTGTTGTTGCTGCTGTTACTGCTTGCTGAGCTTCTTATTACACCAAAATCAAAAATGAAAAAGAAACTAACTAAGCCTATCAGCTATGAATTACAAGATTCGTATCTCTAAGTCTTCTAAAACTTGATCTTGAGTCTTGGTTGGTTCTTCATGCAGACTCTGATCTGAACCTTGATGTTTGCTAGCTGCAGGTGCTAGTTCATTCTTCTTCGGCTTTTTCGGATCAAGATGGGACATGCAAAGCTTGTGACATCAATTATGTCTTGAGCAGTCCGCATCTTTTCTACGCTTCTGCACTTTGAGTTCACTTCTTTTCCATTTCTTTCTCTATTTTGGATTGAGACTTCTTTTTGGTTATCTCGAACCCTGTGCCTCGAGGTAAAAACCTTGCTTAGACAAAGAAATGAGCGAAATTTTTCTGCCCTAGTTTACACTAGGAAAATTTTGTGAGTTATTTGTAACAAACTATATATTACTTCATTATTGAAATCAATAAAAGGTCGTGATTGGTGTGCCCGAGAAAACAGAGACTAGGGAGTGGAGACCCTATGTCTAAAATGAAAGCAACCAAGGAGTGGAGACCCTATGTTTAAAAAGCGACTAGGGAGTAGAGACCCTATGTCTTAAACAAAATCAACTAGGAAGTGAAGACCCTATGGTGGAAAAGCGACTAGGGAGTGTAGACCGCATGCCTAAAAATATCAACTAGGGAGTGGAGATCCTATGTTGGAAAAACAGATTAGGGAGTGGAGATCCTATGTCAAAAAATATCAATTAGGAAGTGGCGACCCTATGTTGGAAAAACGACTAGGGAGTGGAGACCCTATGTCACAAATAAAATCATCAACTAGGGAGTGGAGACCCTATATTGGAAAAGCGGACCAGGGAGTGGAGACCCTATGTCTAAAATAAAATCAACTAGGGAGTGGAGATCCTATGCTGGAAAAACAGACTAGGGAATGGAGACCCTATGTCTAAAAACATCAACTATGGAGTGGAGACCCTATGTTGGAAAAACGACTCGGGAGTGGAGACGTTATGTCTAAAAACATCAACTAGAGATTGGAGATCCTATGTTGGAAAAGAAGACGGGGGAGTGGAGACCCTATGTCTAAAAACATCAACTAGGGAGTGGATACACTATGTTGGAAAAGCGACTAGGGAGTGGAGACCCTATGTCTAATATAAAATCAACTAGGGAGTGGAGGCCCTATGTCTAAAAACATCACCTAGGGAGTGGAGACCCTATGTTGGAAAAGATACTAGGGAATGGAGACGCTATGTGTAAAAACATCAACTAGGGAATGGAGACCCTATGTTGGAAAAGCAGACTAGGGAGTGGATACCCTATGTCTAAAAATATCAACTAGGGAGTGGAGACCCTATGTTGAAAAAGATACTAGGGAGTGGAGATCCTATGTTTAAAATAAAAATTAACTAGGGAGTGGAGACCCTAGTTGGAAAAACGACTAGGGAGTGGATACCCTATGTCTAAAAACATCAACTAGGGAGTGGGGACCCTATGTTGTAAAAGCAGACTAGGGAGTGGAGACTCTATGTCAAAAAATAAAAATCAACTAGGGAGTGGAAACCTTATGTTAGAAAACGCAACTAGGGATTGGAGACCATATACTACCTTGATTTGGAACTTTCTTTCTTTTCTTTTTTTCCTTTTCACCATTTTATTAAGAGAATGAGTAAAATGCGGGAAAGAGTATGGTGAAGACTTCTCCTTTTGGAGTTGTCGCTGCTGCTGCAGAGCTATTTTAGTCTCCGTACAATTTCTTTTGGTTGCACTTGTTTTTTGCAAGGTTACTTTTGGATTGCACTTGTTTCTTGTTTTTCAAATAAAGAACAATTTGTCAGTTTAAAACGATGGTTGGTTTTGCGGCCTTGAGTGTTTCAGTCACTTGATCTCGTCCTGGCTCCTTTGACGATATTTTCAACTGCAACTGGTTGTTTCCTACATACCGGTTACATTTCTGGCCTTGAAGAACCTTTGGCTTTCCAAACTATACCATGACGGTTGGTCACGTGGGACTTAACCTTTTTAACTTTATTTTGCCTTTGTGGGCTTTTCACAACGATGGGAGACCCCTTAGGTTTTTTCCAATTCTACCAAGATGGTTAGCCACGTGAGACTCAACCTTTTTAACTTCATTTTCCCTTATAGGCACTTCAATTTGGTTTTCTTCTTTCGAGAGTTTTTGATTTCGAAGCATCGGCCACCATGACCAGTCGGATCCGACTTGATGCCCATGCCGAGGCTGGGTGCCTTTTTTTGTATATTAGCTCGTATCAAACGAGAACCCTATAAATCAGTCCTGTCATCTCTTCTTTGTCTTAGTTTCGGATCAGAGTTAGGCCGAAAAGGATTCAAAGAAAAACAAACAATGGAATGGACAATGAATTTAGACAAGAGGTGTCCTTTTCGAGGAAGGGACAGATGGATTTATCTGGAGTACATGCGGATTTCAATGAACATGACATGCCTCTTGGACTGGATGCTTGATCTGTGTAAACTGTTTGACTCTCAAAAATTCATCACAACTTTTACCTCGAAACCGAGAAACCTTGCTCAGAACTATGTTGACGCTGATGGCTGCGAGGATCCTCTTTTCGATCAGTGGCGCCTTTTGCGGGTTTTCACCGGCTGACCTCTCTCATTTCTTTTTTCATCGTTGCCTTATAGTGGTCTTTGCGAGTTTTCACTAACAAGATTCTCTCATTTCAATTTCTCTGCTTACTGTCGCCTTACGGTGCCCGAAAAGATTTTCACCAATCAGACTCTCTCATTTGGGGTAAAAAGCATTTGGATTGAATTACAATTTTGGAACCTTTCAGGCGAGACCATCGCCGAACCATTATAACATCTAACCCAGTTGCACTTTTGGGGAAATTTGGATTTTGTTTTGGTGTGACTGAACCCCAAAGAGAGGCTGCCTACGTATTATTTCGGAATCAAGTCGGACGTAGTTCAAGAAACTTTGTTTGTTTGTTTTTTTGCTTTTTCTTCTGTTTTGTTTTGTTTTCTTTTCTCTTTATTTTTTCTTTTTTTTTATTTTTCATTTCTCTTCCTTTTTTTTTAATTTTTTTTCAATAACGCTTTCAGGTTCCAAAAAGGGTAATCAAAGAAGAGTAACCGACTAGGGTTTACAAAAGGGTTAATTGTGTTTGGGTAGCGAGAATGAAAGTCTTCGTCATCCCAACCGGAGAACATTAATATTTTATGGAGGATCAAACATAATACCTTTTGACTGCACATGTGTTGATGGTTGTTTCAGGGATATTTCCTTCGATGTTTCCCAGGTACAACACTCTCTTTTGGCAGTACATCTCGTTATAATGTATGGACCTTTCCGATCTGGAGCCAATTTTCCTTTAGCTGTTTCGATTTTTTGTTTTATTTTCTTAAACCTATTTTCATTGCATTCTAATTCTTGATTCATTATTTTGAAGTCCGACAGCGTTTTAGGATCTGGGCATGAAGTTCGCAAGAATGTCAAGTTATTGAAATATGCATTTAACAGAACTGAAAAAAGAATAAGAGAAGTGACAAAATTAAGAAAAGAGATATTCATGGACGATGAAATATTAATGTCATTTAATTTTATTTTTGACTTTTTTTTTTGAATTTTAAAGATAGAAGGGTTTACCTCGGAAAGTAAGACAATAAAGTAAAATATCCAGATCACACCCTGCGATAATCTGAATGCAGAAAGGATAGCAAGACTGGCTACGGAGACTCTCGTCTAATAGGGGAACTTTCAGGCTTGACGATCATTTTTTGGCTTTTCTGATGACTCGTTGATCACAGACGGCAGTCTACACTTTGTCACACCTCCTTTTTCCCGAGGGAATAGGGAAATCCAAATCCTAAATCCAGAAAATACACAATAATAATTAATAACCCTAAATTAGAAACAATTACAATTCAAGTCAAATCAGTTTGTTTAAGTCAAGTTCAACTAAAACTAGATAAGAATATCTTTCAACAGTTTTCAAAACATGGATATAAGGAAACTGTGTACATCAATAATGAAATCATATACTGCCTCTCAGGCAAACATCTTTCAGTCCTCCCAATCACTCCAACCTCACAATCACTCATTCCTTCCAGTTACTCTTTCCTCACAATCACTCAGCACTTGGCACTCGGCACTCGCACTCAATAGGTACCTGCACTCACTGGGGGTGTGTACAGACTCCGGAGGGGCTCCTTCAGCCCAAGCGCTATATCAAGCCAATCATGGCATAAATCAATAAAACATGCTGGGGTGTGCAGCCCGATCCCACAAATATTCTCACAATCAGGCCCTCGGCCTCACTCAGTCATCAATCTCTCCAGTCTCTCGGGCTCTCAAAAATTAGGAAAAAACGGCCCAGACAGCAATAACATGAAGTATCAAATAGAATAATAGAGACTGAGATATGATATACGAGTAAAAACTGTGACCGAGTACAAATAGCATATAGCAGACAATTCAGAAAGTAATGCGGCCTCTGTGGGACTCAACAGTACCAACACATAGCCTAGACATGGTTTCTAATATGATTTGCAATCAATTTCCATAACACATAAAGAGCATATAGCTAACAGCATGTTGTTCAACTTTTCAGTTTATACGGGGCGGACCAAGTCACAATCCCCTCGGTGCACGCCCACATGCCCGTCACCAACATGTGTGTCACCTCCAAAATAGTCACACGACACAAAGTACGGGGTTTCATACCCTCAGGACCAGATTTATTATTGTTACTTACCGCAATACGGGCAAAATCCTTCTCTACGTTGCTTTTGCCTCTCGAATCGGCCTCCAAACGTCCCGAATCTAACCACAATCAGGACAATACCATTAATATATGCTAAAGGAATCAATTCCACAAGAAAACTACTAAATTAGACTCCAAAATCCAAAATCAAATCAAACCCGCCCCCCGGGCCCACGTCTCAAAATCCAACAAAAGTCACTAAACTCGAAAGCCCATTCACTCATGAGTCTAACCATACTAAATTCATCAAAATCTGACATCATTTGGCCCTCCAAATCCCCAAAACTCACTCTCCAATTCTCAAGTCCTAACCTCCCAAATTTCACCTCAAAAACTTACCAACTAGGTGTTAAATCATTGGGGAATCACTATTATTGAACATAAACAAGCATAAGGACCTCACCTCAGTTATTGCTCTAAATTCCCTCTAAAAAATCCCCATAATCTGAGCTCAAAGATGTGAAAATGGGGAAATATCCCGAAATATTCTATTTATACCTTCTGCCCAGCAAAACCGCATCCGCGGTCCCTTTTGCGCTTCTGCGCCACCGCATCTGCGGACCGAGCTCCGCATCTACGAAAAATCACTTAAGTCCAGCCCCCCGCTCCTTCGATCATGAACCGCATCTGCACTCATCGCAGGTGCGGAATTAACATCACACATGCGGACCAACACAGGCACATGCTCCCAAACTTCCGCTTCTGCAACCATTGCAGGTGCGGCAAACCCCTCACACCTGCGGACTCTCCCAACCCTTCTTCCTTTCGCTTCTGTGGCCACATTCCCGCTTTTGCGGGCTCACACCTGCGATGAGACATCCGCAAGTGCGTTTATGACAGCTGAGTTCAATCTTGAGCAGCCTTCCGAATTCCAAACTTGTTCCGTAAATCACCCGAAATCAACCCGAGGCCCTCGGGACTTCAAGCCTAATGAACCTCGAAACTTCCAAATTCTACAAACGATGACAAAACCTATCAAACCACGTCCGATTGACCTCACATTTTGCACCCAAGTCATAAATGACACCACGGACCTAGTCCAACTTCGGGAAATCAAATCCGACCCTGATATCAAAATTTCCACTTTCGTCCAAAATCGCCAAAATTTCAACCTTCGCCAATTCAAACCTAATTCTACTACGAACCTCCAAATCACATTCCGGACACGCTCCTAAGTCCAAAATCACCTAACGGAGCTAACGGAACCGACAAAATTCAAATCCGAGGTCGTTTACACACAACTCAACATCCGGACAACTCTTCCAACTTAAGCTTTTAAATAAGAGACTAAGTGTCTGAATTCACTCCAAAACCTCTCCGGACCCGAACCGACTAACCCTGTAAGTCATAATACAGCCGTAGAACACAAGAGAAGCAGGAAATGGGGGAACGGGGCTATAAGTCTCGAAACGATCGGCCGGGTCGTTACAGTAACTTGTAACTAAATTAATATGCACTCAAATTATTTAAATATTGTAATTTGTAACTAGAGTTTATTATGTAACTTAATTCTATAAATTAATTTGAATTATGATTAATATAACATGTAATTTATTTGTTCTTTATATAGATGGCATATCGTAGTTGGATGTATAATAGGAATTATCCTAATCGTCAATTTTTTAGGGAGGAATTTATAGAAGGGGTTAAGGAATTTATTAGGCATGCAATGTCACTTGAACCGTTTTCGATTGGAGGGATGATTAGGTGTCCTTGTGTGAAGTGCAAGTGTTTGCATTTTTTTGGATCAGAGGATGTTAAGACTTATCTTTATAAAAAAGGGCTTATGGATAATTATTTCGTGTGGACTAGTCATGGAGAGATTGATGGTATTGATGGTGTATTTCATAACGTAGTTGTTGGTGAAAGTAGTAGGTCGGTGGGGAATAACGTTCAACATCCTAGATACCATGAAATAGTTGCGAATGCTTTGGGATGCACTTCGATTTTGAAACCCATGAAAGTGTTGAACAACCTCCTAACGAAGAAGCAAAATATTTTTATGAACATTTAGAGGCCGCTAGTGTAGGCCGCTAGTCGTCCACTAAGGGAAGGGAGTATGCACTCTCAGTTGTCTGTTGCGGTTAGATTATTAAGTATCAAATCAGATACCAATATTTCTCAAGCGGGAATGGATTCTTTCATTGGCCTTATGAGTGAACTAGTTGACCCAACTTTCAACATAACTGAAGATTTCTATAAGGCTAAAAGAGTGGTTTCTAAGTTAGGACTCTCGCCTATGAGAATCGATTGTTGTGAAGATAGTTGCATGTTGTATTATAAGGCTGATGAAGATTTAGAAAGTTGTAAATTTTATGAAAAACCTCGTTTTAAGCGGCTTTCCAGCGAGAAGAAGGCTGTTGTGAAGTCGATGCATTACTTACCTCTTATTCCTAGATTAAAGAGGTTTGTATGCATCGATGAATTCCGCTCCTCATATAAAATGGCACTATGAAAATAGAAGGCCACCTGGTGTTATGTGTCATCCTTCAGATGAGGAATCTTGGAAGCATTTTGATAGGACGTATCCAGATTATGCTTATGAACCGAGGAATGTTCGATTGAGTTAGTGTGCTGATGGTTTCACGCCATTTTCTGTTTTTGCAACACCATATTCATGTTGGCCGGTCTTTATTATGTCGTATAATCTTCCGCCTGAAATGTGTATGACTAGTCCATATATTTTTTTTAAATTGTGTTATTCCCGGTCCCCGCAATCCAAAGAGTTTGATTGATGTATATTTGAAACCTCTGATTGATGAGCTTAAACAGTTGTGGTATGATGGAGTTGAGACATATGATATAACAACTAAACAGAATTTCAACTTGCGTGCTAACTTAATGTGGACCATTAGTGATTTTCCTGCATATAGAATGTTGTCTGGGTGGATGACTGTTGGAATGTTAGCATGTCCTTACTGCATGAAAAATGGTAAAGCGTTCACTTTAAGACATAGCAAAAAGCAGTCATTATTTGATTGTCATCGTCAGGTCTTGCAAGTTGATCATGAGTTCAGAAGGATGAAGAATGCATTTAAAAAGAATAAAGTTGAACATGATTTGCCACCTCCAATTTATTCCGGTGAGGAAATTTGGGAGAGGGTTCAGAACTTCACTAAAGTTACCGAGGCCCCACCTTCTGGATTTCCTGGATATGGTGTTACTCATAACTGGACAAAACAGGGCATATTTTGGGAGTTGCCATATTGGAAAGATAATCTTCTCCAACACAATCTTGATGTCATGCATATTAAGAAGAACTATTTTGACAATTTGTTCAACACAACGATGGATGATAAGAATAAGACAAAAGATAACCCGAAGGCTAGACTGAGCTTACAAGAATATTGCAGGCGACTTGAATTACATTTGCAGTCTAGGAACAATGGTAAGGCGTTCAAGCCCAAGGCTAGCTACACATTCACTTTGGAACAAAGACGACAGATTTGTGAGTGGGTTACAAACCTAAAGATGCCCGAGGGCTATGCATCGAACCTGGGAAAATGTGCCGATATGGTTGAGGGAAAGCTGACTCATATGAAAAGTCATGACTGTCATATCTTCATGGAAACCTTAATCCCTATTGCATTTTGTGGTTTGCCTAAAAATATGTGAAAACCCATCATAGAGATAAGTTCGTTCTTCAAAGACTTATGTTCAACCACATTAAGGGAAGAAAACCTATTTCAAATGAATCGGAAGATTCCTGTAATCAGTAATAAGCTGGAAAGGATTTTTCCATATGGCTTCTTTGATGTGATGGAACACCTTCCAATTAACCTTGTACACGAGGCGCGACTTGGAGGGCCGGTTCAATGCAGGTGGATGTATCAATTCGAGAGGTAATGATCAAACCTTGATTTATTCTTGTAATTTTCTTTAACGTTATCGTCTAATATGACAATGTTCAGGACGATCGGCAAGTGTAAACGGTTTATTAAGCAGAGGAATAGGATTGAAGGATCTATATGCGAAGCCTATCTTGTAAAGAAAACTGCCCATTTTTGTTCTTACTACTTTGACAATCATATGCCATGTGCTAGAAATAGGCCTAATCGGCACAATGTCGTGATTGAGATTGATCTATTATATCCACCAATGTCCATATTCAATCAACCAGGCCGAGGTTCTAAAGATTGAACAAAAAGGGGCCTAAGTAGTATGAAGTAAAAATCAACTTCAAATCATGTGTTGCTAAATTGTTCGGAAGTTCAATCCTTTCTTAAGTAAGTGTTGACGTAAGATTAATTTACATAGACTACTACTTAATTTGGTTGATGCAACTAACAAATAATTTTCAATGCGTCGCTCAGTGACTTCGTGAGTAAATTTGGCCATGGTGCTATATATTCTACATTTGAGGCATGGTTTAAAGAGTGTGTAAGTGCATCTTACATACTTTCTCACATGTGAATATACATACTTGTGAATATACTTGCTCACTTATGATTTATTTAACACTACATGTAGGTCAATAATCCAAATTCGAATCGGTTTATCGATAAATCGAATCGATTATTTGTTATCGGTTTATCGATTTATCGATTTCGATTTCGATTTAGAAATTTTCCTTATCGAGTTATCGATTTCGATTTTTTCCTCTTCGGTTTATCGGTTTATCGATAAATCGATAAGAAATACTAAAAAAAAATTAAAAAAAATTAATTTCTTTTGTATACCCTTATTCTATAATACCCTTTCCTTTACCCTAAGTCCCTAACCCTATTATTTCATCTACCACATTTAAGGAATGATCATACTTAAAGCTCAAGGGAATGAAGTTCAAATTAATGAAAAATAGAATTAGCCGTGATGATGTATTTTTTTTATACCGTTGGAGTGTTGGTGGCATACATTTGATCCCTTACTTTAGTTTCGTTGCATGTGCTTTTTGACACAAATTTTATGTTATAAACGGTGTTCGTCTTATTTTAGCTTCTTTTGGTCCATATTAGTTAGGCGTGTTTATAGCGATATACTTTCCGTGGAATCCCGCAAATTTTCTTATTGGTGTAATCGATAACCGAATCGATAAGTCCCCAAAATCGATAAATCGAAATCGAAAAAATTGAAACTTTATTGAAACGATAACGATAAGCATATGTACAAATCGATAATCGATAAGTAATTATCGATAAGGGTCAAAATCGAATCGATAAATCGAATGCACACCCCTACAAACAACGGTGTTAATCAATTTTTGAAAGACATATCTTGGGGATCTGCACCTACGGTTACGACTATGTCTAAGTATTATGTGAAGGGTTACCAATTTTACACCGAAGAATGCTCCAAGTATAAAAAAAAGCAATAACAACGGGGTGTGTGTCAAAGGTGGTGAAGGCAACCAAGATGGAGAAAATGATTATTATGGTGTGATCAAAGAGATTCTAGAATTGTCATATTCAGGTTGGCCAAATAAGAAGATTATACTTTTCCGATGGAAGTGGTTTGACCCAACACCTAGAAGAGGTACAAATGTACACTCGCAGTACAATATAATTGAGGTTAATAAAAGAGGGAGTATGATCGTTATGATCCTATTATAATTGCAGAAAAAGTTAGACAAGTGTACTATGATCCATATCCATTATTGAGGGATAACGTTGATTGGTTGGTTGTAATCAAAATAAAGCCTGTTGGTAGAGTGGAAGTTGAGAATGTGCTAGACGTTGCTTACCAAAACGGTACCTCAAGTGTTAACCAAATAGTGGATGATCAGTTAGAAAATGACTTGGAGCATCCTCAAAGCATATTAGAAGAAGTTGATACGGAGGAAATAACAATCATAGAAAATGAGGATGGAGAATCACCTAATGAAAATGAAATAAGTGAAGAGGAAGGATTTTCATACAAGGAAGGATACGTCGACGAAGACGACTAGCATGTTAATTTTTTCAAGTGCTCTCAAGTTATATATATTCTCAATTCTAACATTTTCTTTAATTTATTCAGATGACCGGTAGGGGTAGGGGTAGGGGTAGGTCTAGGAAGGATAAAAGGCTTATTGATCATGATGATGGTGCTACACCGTCGCTTCCTTCCACTCCACACTTGCATTCTTCTGCTTCTGGCCAGCATCAATCTCCTAGGCACACATCTATTCCACCACATCCATCTACTCATCAGACTACCCACCATTTGCCCTCCCAGCAGTATTATTACCATTATCCACCACAAGGCTATGTGGTACGCCCGTCATCTGCTCCATTTGCTTCATCACTAACTGGATCACATCCATCTAGATTTCAATTGGCTGGATCGCAGTAATGGTCTAGATCGCAGCAGGGGTCTAGATCGATGTAGGGGTGTGGATGACAGCCATCTTTATCAGGGACCCCGTCTCCCTCTCCACGGAGTTTGTCTCCTAGCATTTCTAGACTTCGTCTTTAGGATAGTAGCGCTGAGCCAGATGCCTCCCCTTCTGCGCACGCTTTAGATTCATCAAAGGATGATGATCTAGATGAAGTGCGGTATGATCGTTATCATAGGATGATCATCAGGCCTGAGGGCAATGGGTAAGATTTATTTATTACTGCTTTATTTTTGCTGAATTATAATAGTTACTCTTTCTTATTTAATATAATTGCTATGTTGCACGTTCATACCTAATCATCAGCTTACAAAGATAATCACTGAAATTTTTGACCGGTTGTATAATGCACCCTATTCGACTTGGAGTGACTTTCCACCAGAGCTCGTGTAATAAATTTTCAACCAATTTAAGGTTTTAATACAATTCTTATCTATTTAAGCATCATATATACAATATTATCATGTAACGTTACATACTTTATTTGCAGACTAAGTGTGCCTGGGAGGACCGGTATATAGTAAATTTGTGAAAATTTTGTGTTCAAGTGCCGTAAGAGACTATTTGACTCCTTCTGCTCCGCTCAAAAGAAGAACAAGAAGACTTCATGGATTCTACTGCATTTATGGGAGGATCTGCTGAGGTATTGGACCATCGAGAAATTTGAGAAAAAGAGTGAACAGGGAAAGAAGGCCCGAGCATCTGAGAAGGGTGGCTCCTTGCACTGTGTGGGTGCAAGGAGCATGGGGGCTACGAGGAGACTATTGGTAATTCCTTAAAATATTTACATCTATTTTTATAGAACTATATTTACGTATGTTGATTTAGTTAACACGTTTTATTATATTTGTAGGAAAGAAAATATGGGAGGAAGATGACGCATGATGAGTTCTTCATGGAGACTCGCATCCAGAAGAAGAAGGCACCGACAGATCCAAGTAGATGGGTCGAGGACCGGGCGGAGACTGCACATGTAAGTTTCATAACTACTATAAATGTTTATAATGTTTATATAGTTAATAATTTTCTATCTTCTAAATAGAGGGTCGCTACAAGATTAATATGGAGGATTACACTTAAAGCTTGCCACCGAATGTGCAAGGCGAGCGACCACCCTTTCAGATGAAGAAGCGCTGATGATATGGTTGGATGTTGTCAGTGGTCCTAAAAAGGGGATAGCATACGGCCTTCCAAAGATATCATTTCGGCGCTACAGGGCTGGATTGCAAGGTATAGAGACTTTCGTCCAAGGCGAGGCAATTGATAGGTCGACTATCTCGTCTATGGAAAAGAAGATCACAAAGCTGACAGAAGAGCTTGAAGAGACAAAGGCTAGAGAACAAAAGAGAGATGAACAATTTGGTACCCTTCAAGTTCAGCTAGAAAAGAGGGGCGAGCAATTTAATCTTGTTCAAGGTCAGCTGGCCAATCTTCTTGCTAGTGCTTCTTTCCCCATTACCCGGTCTCGTGAGCCTTACCCATGTGCTAATCCTTCTCGTCGTGATCCTTCGAACCATGCCGACGATGAAGGTTCTAGTAGTGAAGATGGAGATGATGCAATATAAAACACTCATTGAATAGTGTGTACTGCTAAACAAAGTATTGAACATGTCAATATTTAGTTGGGACTAGTTTTGAATGATGATTGTATTATTGATATTATTTTGTTATTGAACATTTGTATAGTTGTTGTTGTGGTTGCCATTGTTGTTGTTATTAGCGTTGTTGTTGTGTTTGTTATTAGCTTTGTTGGTTAATTACTGTTGTTGATTAATTGTTGTTGTTGTTAGTTAGTTAGTCAATGGTTGTTGTTGTTGGTTAATTATAGTTGAATGGCAGCAATATAATGCTGCCATTATAAGATGGATATTGGTTGTAATTGACAGGTGGTGTAGCTTAAAAGCACGCATATTCTGCCCGGTTTTTACCTAGAAAACCGATCGAAATTGGTCGGAAATATCATATTTTTGCCCAGAAATTAAAAAATTTCGTCCGAATTCGGTCGGAAATTTCAAATGAAATCTCCAGTTTTTTGAAATTTCTGACCAAAGTCGGTCGGAAATTTTGAATTTAAATTTATTTATTTAAATAAATTAACAATTTATTATAATCTACAAATAATTATATATTTAAATAAAATTATTATTTATTTAAAATTTCGACCGATTTCGGTCGGTAAATGCAGTTTGAAAGTCAGTCAACGCATTGAATAAATCGACCGTTTCGGTCAGAAAATTTCGACCGATTTCGGTCGCAACACATTAGTGACCATCATTTTTTCGATTAATTAAAAGCGGTCAAAAAATTGGTCACTTCTTTTAATTCCTGACCAATTTTGGTCGATTTTCTTGGACGAATTTAGCATGTTTTTTAGTAGTGATATAACCATTTGAATAACAACAGAAACATAGCCAGTGTGATCCCACAAGTGGGGTACAACAACAATAACAACATACCCAGTATTATGTCACACGTGAGGTTTGGGCAATCCCACAAATAGGGTATGTTTGTAATAATATATTTGTATAAGTTCATTTAGATATGGATAATAAAAATGTAATATAAGCTCTGGAAAGAGGAGTTTTAGAGTAACTTAGCGGCGGGGTGATGCTAGTATCAAAAGAAAAGATCATATACAAAGAAAGAAATACAATTCAAACACTGATGGGTCTGACCACAGAACATCAGCTGGTATCAAATTGAACCGGGATCAAGGACAGATCTTCTAGCTTTTAATAGCTCCTCCAAAGAATAAAGAGATAAACTACTTACTGTAACGACCCGGCCGATTGTTTTGAGAATTAATGCCCCGATCCCCTATTAAATGCTTTTCCCGTATCTATTTCTGCTATTGTGTCTTGCCGGGATGATTCGTTTTGAGTTTCGAAGTGTTTTGGGACACTTAGTCCCCAAATGAGAGCTTAAGTCTTAGAATTTGGACCGTAGTCAAAACGGAGCAAAGACGGCTCCGGAATGGAGTTTCGTCGATTCTGTTAGTTTTGTTGGGTAATTTTGGACTTAGGGACATGTGCGGATTGTGTTTTGGAGGTCTGTAGCTATTTTAGGCTTGAAATGGCGAAAGTTAAATTTTTGGAGTTTCGGGCCGGTAGTGGAATTTTTGATATCGGGGTTGGAATCCGATTCCGAATGTTGGAGTAGGCCCGTAGTGTTGAATACGACTTGTGTAAAAAATTTGGGGTCAATCGGACGTGGTTTGGATGGTTTCGGAATCGGTTGTAGAATTTTGAAGTTTCAAGTTCATTAGGTTTGGATTGGAGGATGAATTGTGTTTTTAACGTTGTTTGATGTGATTTGAGGGCTCGACTAAGTTCGTATGGTATTTTAGGATTGGTTGGTATGTTTGGTTGGGGTCCCGGGGGCCTCGGATGCGTATCAGATGCTCAACGGGTGAAAACTTAGACTTAGAGGATTTTCTGGAGTGCCGATTTTGGTAAATTCGCACTTGCGGTGGGGAGCCGCAGGTGCGCGTGACCAAGCGCGATAGCGGATTTTGGGAGAAAGTCCAGGTTCATAGGTGCGAGGGGAGTTCTGCATTTGTGATGCCTGCAGGTGCGAGTGAAGGAACGCAGGAGCGGTCTAGAACCGCAGAAGCGGATGAGGATCCACGGGTGCGCACACGCAGGTGCGACCTCATGATTGTAGAAGCGGACGAGGTGCATTAAGTGAAAAGCCGCACCTACATTGGAAATTCCGCATGTGCGGGAGATGCGATCCTGGGATCGCATAAGTGGAAATCACTGGACAGAGAAGGGGATTTTCGAGGGTTTGAAATTCATATCACAAAATTCAATTTGGAGCTCGGTGGAAGGCGATTTTTCGAGAGTTTTTCAGAGGAAATCATTGGGTAACAATTCCTAATCCTATTTTGATCATATTTCATTAATCCATAGTTGTTTTCTTCATTAAATTAAGGAATTGGAGTGAGGAAGTTGGGAAATTAGGGGAAAAGTTCCCCAACCCAAAATCTGAGATTTGAGTGGGATTTAGGCGTCAGATTTGGATGATTTTTGCACGAATAAACTCATAGGTGAATGGGTATTCATAATTTGTGACTTTTACCCGATCTTGAGACGTGGGCCCGGGAGGATTTCGGGCATTTTTCTATTTTCTCGCCTTAGCTTTGATTTCATTAGCTAAATTAGTTGCTTGTAGCTATATTTACGTTATGTAATCGATTTGATTAGTGTCGGCCACTCGGAGTTGGATACTCGTGGCAAGAGCGTGATTTCGGATTGATTTGAGCTTAGTTCGAGGTAAGTGGCTTGCCTAACCTTGTGGGGGGAACTCCCCTTAGGATTTGGTACTATTTGATATATGAGCGTCGTGTACATGAGGTGACGAGTGCATACATGAGCTATTTGTTGAAAAACCTCGTTTTCATTAAGCAAATATCTGTTTTCCTTTAATTGAGCAACACTAGTATATGTAACTATTCTGTTTAGCTTAGGAAAGCATGCGTACGTGCCTTAACTATCTTAACTGCCTTAACTGCCTATCTGATCTCTGTGCAGCATGTTTCGTGAAAATTACCTGTCTTCTTTGATGTGAACTTAGTCTAAACTGTAGAATTCCTTGTTGAAACTGTTGTTTATGTTGATTGAGTTGCATATTTACTTTGGGACAACGGAACAGTATTCCGGGAGATCCTCCTGCACGTTTATGTTTGGGACTACGGGACGGTATCCCGGGAGATCCCCTTGTACTGTGTATTTACTTTGGGACTATAGAACGGTATTCCAGGAGATCCCCCTGTACATTTACGTTTGGGACTATGGGACGGTACCCCGGGAGATTCCCTGCACATTTACATTTGGGACTACGGGACGGTATCCCGGGAGATGCCCTATTGTTATATCTGTGTACTGAGCTATTGTTTTTCTGTGATTTCATTCTCATTAAATTTTAGTAATTATCTTTACTGAAGTGTTTCATTCTGTCTCTTTTTATTATATATATACACCAGTAGGGCCCTGATCTAATCTCGTCACTACTCGATCGAGGTTAGGCTAGACACTTACTGGGTACCGTTGTGGTGTACTCATGCCCTTTCCTGCACATATTTTTCGTGTGCAGATCCAGGTACCTCACATCATTTGCATTACCAGTGAGGCGAGACGACTGTAGAGTTTTCTTTGTAGGCTAAACTACTCTTCCTTAAGTTAAAGACTTTCTTGCATTTTCTTCGTTGATAGATTCTGGAGTTTTGAAGCACTATTTCCTTCTGTAGCTTACGACTCATGATATTTCAGGTTTTGGGAGCGTTTATGTTCAATTCGAGAGTGATTATTGTATATGTCGAGCGGCATCTAAATTTCTTAGTTAAATTTACCTGTTAAATTGTTAGTTTTTCATGTTTTCGTCTCAGATCCGCAAAATGTTAGTCTTACCTAGTCGTAGTGACTAGGTGCCGTCACGACGGTTCATAGAGGGAGAACTTGGGTCATGGCAAGTTGGTATCAGAGCTCTAGGTTTATAGGAGTCGGAGTCACAAGCCAGTTTATTAGAGTCTCGCGGATCGGTACGGAGACGTATGTACTTATCTTCGGGAGGCTATGGAACTGTTAGGAAAATTCCACTTCATTTGATTCCTTGTCGTGCGAGGTAATTGACTTCAAACTTCTAAACTTCTGTCTTCTATTCTCTCACAGATAGGGAAGACACGTGCTACCGGAGATGACCAGACACCCGCGTCCCCTACTAGAGCTACTAGATACCGGGGCAGGGGTAGAGGCTGAGGACGTGCAAGTGGTGCAGCCAGATCACCTGGGCAAACTGCTACAGAGGAGCCACCAGTAGCTCCAGCGGGGCCCAGGAACCTGATACAACAACAACTACTACTCCAGCTCTCTAAGAGACCCTTGCACAGTTCATGAGCATGTACAACACTCTAGCTCAGGCATGGTTGATTCCCCTTGCTGCAGCCACATCTCAGGACGGGGGAGGAACACAGACTCCCGTCGCCCGCACCGCAGAGTAGCGGGTTCAGGTCGATCAGATCCCTAAGGTTATACCGGTACCGCCTGTAGCCCCAACTCAACCCGAGGGTAGGGCGGTAGTTTCAGAGGAGAAGCAGCGGAGGCTTGAGAGGTACAAGAAGTACGACCCTCCTACATTCAGTGGTCTAGCATTAGAGGATGCCCAAGGATTTCTTGAGGAGTGCCATCGTATCCTCCGCACTATGGGGATAACAGAGTCGAGTGGGGTTTCTTTCACTGCCTTCCAACTTCGAAGGGCAGCCTATCAGTGCTGGCGTACTTTTGAGTTGGACAGTCCAACTGAGGAAGCTTCCCTTACATGGACTCAGTTCTCGGACATATTTCTGAGAGAGTATGTCCCTCAGAGCCTTAGGGACGCATGGCGCACGGAGTTTGAGCAGTTGCGCCAGGGTACTATGACTATTTCAGAGTATGATGTCCGTTTCAGTAACTTGGCTAGACATGCACCGGCCTTGGTTTCTACGGTTCAATAGAAGGTTCGCCGGTTTATTGAGGGGCTCATTCCCAGCATCAGGTTCAGCATGGCCGGGGAGTTAGAGATGGATATCGCGTATCAGTAGGTGGTGAGTATTGCTAGGAGAGTAGAGGGCATGCTTGCTCGGGATAGGGAGGAGAGAGAGGCCAAGAGGTCTCGAGAGTC